CCTCTCTCTCTCTCTCTCTCTCTCTCTCTCTCTCTCTCTCTCTCTCCCTCCCTCTCTACTTCTTTTTGAGGTTTTATTCTCTCTCCCGCTACTCTCCCCCATGGCCACAGGAAAACAAAAGAGAAAAAAAAAACTGTGTTTAGTCCCACACCGCATGGAGGATTTGAATTTTCTTAGATATGAACAACAGCATTCAACCCAATTGCTGCTTGAGGCTGCTGATGGTTAGGCTAGAATTTACTGTTCGTGTATGGGATATTTATTCCAAAAAATGTAATTTGTGAATTGCGGTCGGGTTCGGTTCGTTTGCTTCACTATACCGGAAGGATTGCTATTGGGATGAAAAAGGTAAAAAAATTTATTTGATTTATCCCATATTTAAAACATCATAAATAATATTAAATAGGATTTCATACCAAAGCCAGTGGGGGACCGTGCCCCCAGGGCCCCCACACTGCATCCGCCAGTGATAGACACCAATGTTTTTGCATGAAAAACCAAGATATGGAAAAATCATTCGACCTTACCTAATTGAAATGATTTCACTAACATATATCATATGTTACATATGATGCTCTTCCTCCTCATTTGAGAAGGTGTTGATACAATAAAGATGATGGATTCCATGGTGGAAGTTGGAAGAGATTTGAGATATTGGAATTATATTCAATTGATTGTTTATGATCTATTAAACTGTTCTCCTTTGAGGAGAAAATACCATATGTCAAGAAGTCCAATATTGTAAAATCCGAAAATGACGATCGTAGGGCGTCGCACGCATTTCGATGCAATGTAATGATATTTAAGTGAAAAATTCAAAGTTAACGGATTTTGACGGAAATAATTTTATAAAATTCTACGCAAAATTCTAAACAATTTGATATATAAAACCTATAGTAAATTTTGCTAAATTTTAGAGATAAAAATTTTTAGAAGTTTAGAAAGACCCTTAGTTAATACTAAAGCCGATATGTTTTAAGTGAGGGCAACATGATATTTTGGTTAATCCCTAACTCCCTAAAGCATGAAGAGTCCGAACCCCTCTCATCTTGCGAATTTTGTGCGGCCGAAAGAAGAGAGGGTGAACGAAAGAGCAAACAGACGGGAGAGGAGCACACCTCCGGCGACAATTTTTTGGCGAGGAAATTAGTGGAAATCGAAGAGGAAGTCAAGGGGAAGAAGAAGGTATGTTTAATTTAAGCATTTCCCCTCTCATTCTCTAGATTTTTGGAAGAGAAGTTTTTAGGATTTTTCCAAAAAATGATTTTTCTTCCAAAATTTCTTTACGAAATCAATAGAGAAGATTTATGAAGATGTTTTAACGGTAGAAACGAAATTTTCCTCAAATTATTTTGAGATTTTAAAACTAGGATTTTTACCTAAAATCTTAATTTCTTAAGGCGCATTTACAAAAATGATTTCTATGGGACTTAGGAATGTTTTTAAAACAAAATTTTGAATTTTCTTAAGAATTTGCATTTTTCATAATTTTCTAATTAAATAAATCCGAAAATGATTAAGGTAATTATTAAAATAGGTTTAGGAAAAATTTTGGCACATTGAGTTGATGAAATTGATGATTTAGGATTTTCAAAAATTAGGGATGTTAATAAATCTAAAAATTTAAATTAAATTATGTTAATATCATTAAGTGTAGTAAGGAACAAATAATGAGAAGCGAATAGTTTAGACAATTTGAAATTTGATTAAAGCTTTAAAGAAGAATTATAGTGATACTTCTTTATATGTGATTGTTAAGTTGCGATCATTAAGGGGAGCGAAGCGTGTCAAAGCCACTTTGAGGAAGTGTTGTGCTTATATTAAGGTAGGTACTCATATCTATTATAAAAATTTCATATATGACTTTGCTTTCTTTTTATTTAATTGCAAATATTTAAAGTTTTTAAAGTTTATATGGTTTATGAATTCTATTTTGCAAATGACATGTTACTATAATCTTTTTATTTCAATAGATTAGTAAACTTACATGTTATTCGTGCTTTTCATATTTTGAGCTAATGATTTATAAATCATGATTATTTTTCATTAAGCATATGATTGACTAAAAAATAGATATGAAACTGTGCATGTTGATGCGGAGTGATCAAATGGTAAAGGGGTTATCAGAGCCAATGGTAAAGGAATGACCAATTAAATGAAAATATGTACATGATCAGTACAAACTCTATGGGCACCTCCGAGACGGGTAATATAGTAAATATTATGCATATTTTGGTTCATATATTTTTTCTATGCAAAATGAAAGTTTATGTTTGAGAAAAGATTATATGAAAGTTTATGCTTGAGGAAAGATTATGAAAATACTTCTTATACATAAAGGTTTTGAAATTTATGCAATATTGACTATCGTTTAAATTTTTCATATGAAAAAAATATTTTATTGTTGTTTTATGTAAAGTTTTATGAGAAATATGTATTACATGCTGAGCGAGTAAGCTCACTGCTTGTTGTGGGTTTCTTTTTCAGAAGAATCATCTAAGAAGTGATGGCAACGAGACGATAGTACACCTACCATCGTAGAGGGCCTCAGGAAGAAAAGTTTTATATTTTCTGTTATGTGTATGAGTCAGTGGATTATATAATAAGAAGTCTATTGGAGTTTTATGTTTATATTTTTAGTGGGTGTATGTTTAGAAGAAAATATTAAAAAACTTTTAGTTTGATGTTTTAGTGACTCTTTCTTATGTGTATAAGTGATGATAAAGTTTATGTCCTTTTATTAAAAGGGAATAAAATTGTTATGATTTATATGTTATATGTGTTTTTTTTTCGTACGACTATCTGTTCCCGTCTCGTTAATTTGGGCTAGCCGGGCCGGGTCATGACAAATATAATCTTGTTGTTGATATAAGGAATCAGAGTTGATGTTAACATTATGCATCGACCATATTGGTGATTACTTCAATTGATGTTGTGAGCAACGATAGACAATGAAGTTGATCGACATCGGTCTTGGTTTCAATGACGTGTATTAACCTTATAAATGATAATATTGACAATGGTGTGCATCAGCCTTATAAGAGATTGCGGGTTTTGACAGCATGCATCAAGTTTATAGGTACTAGTGTGTGTCGACATTATAGGCGAGGAAGTTTGGTTGGGGGGGGGTGACATTATAGTTCTTTGATGGTGTTTAGGAGGCCATAGTCGGACGACAATGGTGGCGTAAAGGTAATCAAATGACTGTAGTCGAGCCATAGTGATAAGGAAACCAAAGTCGATCAATAATAGTTGAGCAATAGAGGTCGAGCTATAAGAATAATATGATTATAGTTGGATGACGTTGGACAGGCGACGATAGTCGAATTATAGTGAATAAACAACAGCGTATGGAATTTGATGTCAGGAGACAATAGTTTGACAATGACAATTAAATAGCGTCGATAGTTGGAGGGGATTGTCAACATCAAATAACAAGTAGAGCTTTAAAGTACTTCAAATATCCAAGCTCTCTCCAATCTCATGCCAAGGTCCCCTTCATATAGATAATGCGGGTCTATTTATAGTTCTTGATAATGCCATTTTGATAACTTTTGCCCAAATTCCATAACACTCCATCAAATTATCTATTTAGAATCCATTGATCAAATAGCGTTCATTTATTATTTAACTGCCTTAATGCTTAAAAATTGAACGCTTGAGCTCATTGGATTTGTCTTGTCGAGACGCTCAAATTGACTATAAGCATATAAAATTTGGGGACCTTCGGTACTCCATTTAATGTCCCAAAGTTTTTAATCATACTTTAGGTGCATGATTTAGGTTCACTTAAATTTGGATTGGATAACTTTTGGTTTCGTTACCTTTCATCGAGATGTTCCTTTTCAACTATAAGTTTGCTAAAATAAAAGTTCAAATGATTCTGAATTTAAATTTGAAAGTTTCCAATACAAATCATGCTTTGATATTTATGCTTGATTAAGAAAACTTTCTGAAGATGTATCACTTTAAAAAACCAATAAATATGCTCAATCAAAGAATTAATTCTCAACAGTATTCTAATAAGCTCATTAAATCAAAAACTTGTAAGAGTACTTAAATCACTATATACGTGCAACAAATCAATGTAAAATTAAATTCGTAGTTCCTACCAATGAATTTTGTTTATAACAAAATCACTAGTCATGTATAATTGAATATTTGAAGGTTTTATTTTCATCCATAATTCATACACCAAAGGCTTCCCTGTTGACCTCCAAGTACATTCCACTTGGGCGAGACATGGCGAATACATTCCACTTGCACGATCAAAAGGGAAAAAATTTGCCGGTTTGCAAGGCAACAACAATTTTTTTTTTTGCAAGGCAACAACATGAATAACAAGTCACATGAAAAACGAGAAATTGAGTAACTGGGCCTTTCCTTTCATTTGTCCTTTTAAATATTGTCTTATCTTATTTTATATTAAGTTAATATTTAATTAAAATAAAATAAAAAATCCTATCAAATCTTAATCCAACTTATCCCACGTGTCATTTCAGCTTATTACTAGTCAAAACCCTCTCCCTATGCCGGCTTATCCACCCACAACATATCCAACAATATAATTTAATGAAATTAAAAAAAAATTATAATTGTACAATAATAATAAACTAACCTACTAGCTCTCTTATTTTCTCCTACTCCACTACCTTCACATGAAGGGG